GCCTGAGGGTGGGACATTTGTACAAATTATGATCCAGTGCTGACACCTTATTAATTAAAGTCTACAGTTTCCTAAAGGAAACTACGTTTTGTAGATTTGAATGGATGTATAATGATTTGTATTCACCAATTCAGTATCAAAAAGAATAGCTTCACCTCCTAAAAATCCTCCATGGCTTTTAAAGAACTTAGTCTGATTTTTCCAAAGGAGGAAAATTTACTCCCCCTACCCTGAAATCCCCTTGGAATTGATATCCTATTTAAAATATAACTTGTTAATGACCTCCTTTTAAATTGTGCAGTATCCAGGTTTTACAGTCTTAAATATGTTTAACTCATCTATGCTCATTTAATTACAATCCAAGTTGCAAATTCAAAAACCTAAAATAGGCACTCGTGAGCATAAAATTCCATTTAGTAACAAGTTAATGTTCAGCCTTTAAAATGATAATATTTCCTTTCCTTCAAAGGATCATCACAAAAATAGAGTAACATCAAAAATGTAAAGTTTATTGATAACTTGCAAAATAGTGAGAAGAGGAAAGAAATACTTAACGAGTGAAGTATCAACTAGTATATAGTTATAAATATTATTTCACTGAATCATGATGTAAATGACAATATATCATTTTTTCTCATTGCAATGATGATTGTCATGAATCTTCACTTTGCAATATTAATCTGTTTTCAAGAAAAATAAAATGAAATGAAAAAAAAACCTAACTCTGGCTCCCTCCCCAAGCTTGAGAGAGCAACATTTAGGGCCCCAGGGATGACTTAAGTTCTTGGGTAAATACAAACCAAACTATTCTAACAAAACAGGATGAAAGTTCATTCTAGATTCAGGTCCATTAAAAAGGACAATGCAGAGGCAGGCACTGAGGCATAGTAGGCTAAACCTCTGCCTGTAGTGCCAGCATCCCACATGGGTGACAGTTCATGTCCTGGCTGCTCCACTTCCCATCCAGCTCCCTGCTGTGGCCTGGGAAAGCAGTAGAAGTTGGCCCAAGTGCTTGGGCCCTGCACCTGCATGGGAGACTCAGACGAAGGTCCTGGCTCCTGATTTCAGATCCGCCCAGCTCCAGCCTATGAGGCATCTAGGGAGTGAACCAGGGGATGGGAGACCTTTCTCTCTGTTGCTCAAATAAATAATTTTTTTTTAAAAAAAGCACAATGCAGAGAGGAAAACACAGGATAAATTAAAAAGGTTAAGAGACAGAATGATGTGAGTGCTTTATAGAGAGATAAGTAAAAAAAATTTTTTGAACAACAAATCCAGTTTAGAAGCAGCAGGAGACTGAGGTGTTTGGGTCTTAGTCCTTGTTGCCGTGGGAGGAGGCAGTATCATTTAAATTGCAGTTATAGTTTTAAAAACATAGATGATAAGTAAGTGGTTTAATAACTTGAGACCAAAGTTTCTATTAAAATATCATAAAATACGCCTCTTCAAGGTGACCTGAAATTCACAAAGAGAAAAACTTTCCTAGCTGGTCACTGAGAACCCATTCCTGTGTTCAACTACACACTTCTCCTTTCTTACTTACTGAACAATTACATAGTGTTTCATTTAAACAGTTTCAAAAATAAGTCTGTATTAATATTTAAATATCAATAGATAAAATTATGTAATAATCCCAATCATCATGGGCAGAAGATGATTTTCTTTTTACAAATGACTCTGCCCAGGGCTCCCTTCATGTCTTGGTTCCTCAGGCTGTAGATGAAGGGGTTCAGCATGGGAGTCACCACAGTATACATCATAGCCATGACAGTCTCCTTCACAGTAGAATTATTGGCTGATGGGATTAGGTAGAGACCAATAACTGTCCCATAGAACAACGACACCACAGAGAGGTGGGAGCCACAGGTGGAGAAGGCCTTACGGATGCCCCGTGCAGAAGGAACCTTGATGATGGAAGACACAATCCTTGCATAGGATGTGATAATGAGTAGGAAAGGGATGACGAGAATGATGCCTCCCATGACAAATATCACCAACTCATTGACATGGGTATCAGAGCAGGCCAACTTCAGAAGAGCAGACATATCACAGAAAAAGTGGGGGATCCTGTTGTCTGCACAGAAAGACAGCCTGGCCATGAGCAGGGTGTGCAGCAGGGCATGGAACGTGGTCAGCACCCAGGACAGTGCCGCCAGGCAGAAGCAGAGCTTGGGGCTCATGATGCTGGTGTAGTGCAGGGGGAAGCAGATGGCCACATAGCGGTCGTAGGCCATGGCCACAAGGAGGAAGCTCTCCAGGTCTGCAAAAAACAGGAAGAAGTACATTTGGGCCAGGCATCCTTCATAGGGGATGGATGGGACTTGGCTCTGCATGATCTGCAGCAATTTGGGCATTGTGACAGAGGAGAAGCAGAGGTCAGAGAGGGACAAGTTGCTGAGAAACAAATACATGGGCGTGTGGAGATGAGAGTCCAGGTGAATGAGGACAATGATGATGAGGTTCCCCAGGATGGTGGTGAGGTACATGGCCAGGAACAGGACGTAGAAGAGATTTTTGTGCTGTGGCTGGATGGGCAGACCCAAGAGGAGAAACTCTGCAATCATAGTTTGGTTCCTTCTTGTCATGTTCTGTCTCCAATATCTTAAAGATGAAATAATAAGTTCCTTAAAAACATGAATAAGAATGGATGTATGTCAGTGATACATAGTCTATTAGATATTCTTCAACGGTTGGTTTCACCTTCAATATTCATAATGGCAGTCTCTATAATCAGAAATATGCCACATCACTAAGTCAAAGACATTTTTCAGGTTTTTTTTTTCACTTCTCAATAGGTCTAACAATATTGATTGTTCCCTTCCTTATAAAATACAATCATCCGTTTAGTTCCTGTGTAATTATGCTGCCACACTGCTTCTCATAACACTTCCCTGAGCATTCATTGTCAAAGACTGTAATTGGCCTCTTTTCTGTTACCTTTTATATTTGTGTTTCCTGGAGCTTTTCTCTAAACATGATTGATATTTCTACAGATACAGCCCTTAAAGAGCTTGCCTATTCCCATGGTATTACTTACCATCTAAACCTCCTGGGTAGATCACTCTATCCTCTTCAGTACTGTATCGCCAACTGCTTGCTGATTATCTCCCCATGGATCTATTAGGATCATCTTTGGCTCAACAGCTCCCAAATGAAACTCATGACTCCCTCGCTCCCTCTCCCAATCTGCTCTTCAGTCCACATCTCAGTAAAATTAAGCCAGGTTCACTTCTCAGATCTGAGTGTTTTCATTCATTCATTCATTCCTCTCACCTAAAACACCTAATCTAAAAAACTCCCTTAGATGGTGCCACTTCACTCTAATTTTTCATCACTTATCCCAACTGCCACTATCTGGACCCAACTGACATCATGTCTCGTCTGCATTCTTGAACCTATTACTTCATCTCCCTGTTTCCATGCTCACTCCTTCACTCCCTTCACATGGTGGCATAAAATAAAAATATGATCATCATTCTTGAAGTTTCATGGATTCTCGCTGTTCTTAAGATAAGGCATAATTCCTTTCAAGGACCACCAAAAGCTGCTTCATGACCTGACCCTTGCTGCCTTCACACTCTCATCTGTCCTCATAATATCTCGTGTCTGACTCTGCAGCATCACTGGACTTAAAGAGTTTTCATGTCCAGAATTTCACGCTTGCTTTTCCTCCTGCCTAGCACCTTCTTCCCTCTGCTCTGTCTTCACATGGCTTACCTCCACTTACTTTTCAGGTATTTTGCATGTCACTCAGGTAAATCTCCCCTGGTTCCCCAGACCTAGGGAGCCCCACTGCTATGTTTCCACAGCATCCTGTACTCCTCCCATAGCACTCAATACCCTTGACCACTGTTTTCTAGCTGACTTTGCTACCAAAAGCTGAGCTCCATGCATCAAATGAAATGTCTAGCTTCATGACTGCTTCAGGGCCAGAATCTGGCCTGGTGCCTGGTTGTGGCAAATAATTCATTCATATTTGTTGATTTTACTTCAGGCTAAGGAATACTGCTATATTCCTCAAACTTTAAAGGTATTAACCTCCTATTTGAGTTAGAATAAGCACTGCTACTAAATCCTCCCAGGAAAAGTACTCATAAGCTTTAACCATATAGCACTAGTTTTTGACACCTATTACAGAATTCCTGGCTGTAACTTCATGCCCATGAAAAATACTAGACTACCCAATCACACTACTCCTTAGCCTTAACAAACAACTGATACGCAGGATCACACTACACTTTTTTCCTTGTGTTTATATCCACGTGATTCAGTGACACTGACTTATATAAATCTGAAAGGTTTAGTAATTTGGGAGAAAAAAGGTGGAATAGGGGCCGGTGCTGTGGCACAGCGGGTTGATGCCCTGGCCTGAAGTGCCAGCATCCCATATGGGCACTGGTTCCAGTCCCAGCTGCTCCTCTCCCAGTCCAGCTCTCTGCTATGGCCTGGGAAAGCAGAAGATGGCCCAAGTCCTTCATACACTGCACCCGCGTGGGAGACCCGGGGGAAGCCCCTGGCTCCTGGCTTTGGATTGGCGCAGCTCTGGCCGTTGCAGCCATCTGGGGAGTGAACTAGTGGATGGGAGACCTCTCTCTCTGTATGTACCTCTCTCTGTAACTCTTTCAAATAAATAAAATAAATCTTTAAAAAAAAGAAAAAAAAGGTGGACTAAAGATAATTCCTACCTTGGAGGTCTCACTCCAGTTCTTCTCCTGATATCTGTATCTCAGAATTCCTCAGAGGTGACTAAGGAAGCTGGAGAGGGACATAAAAGCACATGGGAAGTTCCTTCACTGAAGAGATAACTAAGGCCAGCTGCTGGGATTTTCACTCTGCTGATGCTGTTTAATCTAGACAAATTAATAGCTATTTATACTTAGATATAAAATGCCAATGTTGTAGTTTAAAAGAATCAAGTGAAATTTTATACACCTGATTTCTCAGAGTGTTGCTTTCCTGGAAGATGACATCATTTCTGGCATCAAGGGTCTTGTTTAGGAATCACAAACCAGAGTGACATCACTTGCAAATCCATCCACTGATTGGCCATGAGTTTCAGCTGCTCCCATAATGGTGCCTCTCATCTTCTTCACCTGATTAATTCATAGTTTTCAGTCCATACTGCACTCAAGAATCGCATGAGAGTGCTCCTAAAAATATAATTTATATACAAACCACCTACTTACCCTGTTAAATATTAATTTTTATTCAGTAGACCCAGTGTGGGGCCTAACATTCTATATTTTAAGAGTTCAAATTTACATTTGGTGATGCTAACTCTGCTGCTCTGTGGACCATATTTTAAGTTGTAAGATCATACATTTCAAAAATACAAATTTCTACACTATCCTTCAATAAATGTAAAATTGGAATTTCTAGGAGGCAGCCTATCCAAAGTATTTTAAAGCTTCTTGAGTAAATTTAAATATACAGCTAAGGGTGAAGAACATCTGTATCAAATGCCTACCTCACTGAAATGTCATTATGTTGAAATGACAGGCTCTTGTTAGACTACATGCACAGTAAACAATATGAATATTTTAATTTTAAAGATTGTAACTGGTGAACATTAATCAACATGTATCTACAGTGCAACACAGTCTCAGATAGCAGAGACAGAGAAAAGCGATGTTATCACACCTAAAGAACTATTCAGCAGAGCATCATACAAGTTGGGAAACAATATGGCCCAGGTTGGAAAGACACTAGGGCACCAGCTAATTCACCCTCCTGCCCAGCTTACCCAGGGCGTCTGAAGGAGACTCCAGGGCCCTGACCCGAGATCCTGCTGCCCTTTATTCATTACAGCCCCTGTAGTCATTACCTGTGTCTGCACCACCTCTCCTTACATCTTTCCTTCTATCGGTCTCTGGGCCCAAAGGGCCTGCATCCCAAAGGAGCACAGATCCTGCAGGAACTCATTAAAGACCAAGTAATTTTCCCAGACCTCTCTAGTCCTGAAGTGGTGACTGATTGCAGTTACTAATCACATCTGACTGTACTTTGTTGGGGCGGGAGGGTGAGGATGGAGAGAAGCTCACCATGGATGTTTAACCGTTTCCTGTGTCAGAAATGAATAATAGTCCTGCGCAGCTGGACCACATTTTGGGAGGTGAAGAAGAATGGTTGGAGAAGCCGTAAAAGAAATAATAAACCAGACTGTCAATCTCTAAATAGGTGTATGAAAGTTTAGGCTTTATCCTGTGGTAACAAGAAGCCATCAGAAGAATCTGATAGAATACCACCATGAAAGAGATGTTCTGCATATTTTCCATGGGTGACAATCTCTCACTAAAACCTAATTCCCCATAAACATACCCCAAGGGAGAAATAAATCTATCACTAATAAGGATCACACTTCTATGATCCAACCACATGCAGATACATAGAAAGAACAAGAGTAAGAACTCTCCCAGATCACAGTTAATTCTTCCTGAGGCTAAAACAGAAATCAAAATAGCTCCTCGTGGCTCTATGAAAAACTTATTAGCAGAAAACTGCCATCATCCCAACTATTCTCCATATAAGATTATCTCCTGGTGCCCCTCTTTTCTTACCCTGCAACTGATAATGAGACTATCAATATTTTTAAATTTTATTTATTTATTTGAGATGCATATAAAGACAAAGACAAAGACAGACACAAAGAGCTCCCATGCATAGGTTCAGTCTCCAAATGCCCATAATTGTCAGGATTGAACCAAAGTCAGGAATCAGGAACTCAATCCAGGTCTCCTATATGGAGGAGGGCAGAGACCCCACTACTTGTGCCATTACCTGCTACCACCCAGGGTGCACATTAGCAGAAAACTGCAATCAACAGCAGAGCTGGAACCCCAACGCAGGCACTCGGATTATGAAATCATGGTGTGCCACTGGGGTCTTAACTACTAGGTCAAATGGGGCCCCTAGAGTTCACACTTGTAACTACTTCCACACCTGTTACATGTTCCCTTTCTCATCATTCCAGCTAGATTTAACCATTATTCCTTGGGAATCCAAATCGTCATTGTTATGACTTTTATTGGATTGCAGTAAGTTTTCCATCAACTAAAAGCTCTCCTAGGAGCCAGCATTGTGGCACAGCAGGTTAAGTCACAGCTTATGATGCTGCCATCCCATATTGGAGTGCTGATCTGAGACCCAGCTGCTCTGCTTCCAAATCAGCTCCATGTTAATGTACCTGGGAAGGTAGTGGATGACGGCCCAAATACTTGGGCTCTTCCGCTCACATGGGAGACCCAGATAGACTTCCAAGTTCCTGACTTCAACCTGGCCCCGCCCCTGCTAATGTGGCCATTTGGGGATTGAACCAGTAGATAGAAAAACTCTTTCTCTCCCTCTCATTCTGCCTTTCACATAAATAAATACTTTTTAAAAAAATAACCTCCTGAAATGAGTTGGGTTTCAACTCAAGATGGCGGAATAGGGAGGGAGCACACTGATAATCCAGGAAAAAATATTTTAATAAAAGTGGAGATACTGTAGTTTCACACTTGTAACTCCTTCCACACCTGTTACATGTTCCCTTGCTCATCATTCCAGCTAGAATAGTTAGGGGAAAAAACTGAAGAGGAAACTCTTCCAGAACTAGTGGGACATGGTGAACCTACATGGAGGGCACGGGCACCCATGGCTTGGGACCCTAGCCGCTGAGTCTATGCACCAGCACTGGAAAGGGAGGTGAGGTGAAACCTCAGTAGCCTGAGACACTGGTGGGGAAGTGGCAGGAAGAGCCTAGAGGGAACAAGGCTTGAAGCCCCGTGGGGGAAAGTTCACCAGGCTAACTAGAGGAGAAAAATAATAAAAAAAAAGGGGGGGGGGACCGGTACGGACATGATTCTCTCCACTCACCTTAAAAAGGCAAGCAAGACAAAGAGCAGGTGCCATTTTGGACACACGTAAAAGCTGTGCCAACTCAGGGCTGCGCCCACCCTCAACCAAGCAGAAAAACCTGACACTGGGGAGGAGAAATAACAGGAGGTTAGGACCTAGTGAATGTGTGGAGCTTATGAACTGAGACTGTGAAAAAAAAACTGAGGGTGTTTGAGAGAACTCACAGAGTGCCTGAGATGTGAGTACTCTTGGGAGAAACCACAAACTCATAACCTTGGCAACCCGGTGGGAGATTGCAGGGGAATCTGAGCTTACACTGAGGACTGAACAGATCTTTGTGTGGTCCTTGGGACAGAGCAGTCGAATATTATACCCACAGGGGCCAGAGCTCAGACAATGACTGCCTTCAATTCTACTCAGCTGTGTGGAATTATTTCCCTTCTGAAGAGAGAGAGAGAGAGAGAGAGAGAGAGAGAGAGGGAGGGAGGGAGGGAGAAATTTACCACGCCTAACCTGGGTGTGTCACCTTTGGCACACTCTTAACCCTGAAGAACCAAACAGAGCTCTCAGGCCACACCCTTCACAAGCCTCTTAAGATCCATCAAAAGCAGACAGTCCACTTAATCTAGAGCCATAGTATAATGAGAAAAAACACCACAGCAAAAAAAGAAGAAGAAACCAAAGAATATCTCCACAATGCCAAGCAACAAATGCAAAAATTGAGGAAACAAGAACAAGGAAGACATTATGATGCCCCCAAATGAACAAGACATTCCAATTCAAGATTATGAAGATGATGAGATAGAAGAAATGCAAGATATGGATTTCAGAAACTTTATGATAAGAACATTTAGAAGTTCTCAAAAACAAATTCTTGAATTACAGAAATCCTTACTGGACAGGATAGAAAATCTCTCTCATGAAAATGAAATCTTAAAGAGGAATCAAAATGAAATGAAGAAACTAGTAGAACATGAAACTGTGAAAATGAAGAGAAATCAAAATGAACTGAAGAATTCAATAGATCAAATGACAAACTCATTAGAGTCTTAAAAACAGAATCAGTGAAGCAGAAGAGAGAATATCGGACTTAGAAGACAGAGCACAGGCAAGTATACAGTCAAACCAAAGAAAAGAAGAGGAAATTAGAAATCTAAAAAATATTGTTGGGAATCTACAGGATACTATTAAAAAAAACCAACATTCGGGTTCTAGGAGTTCCTAGGCTTGGAGAGAGAGAAAGGATTAGAAGGCCTTTTTAGTGAGATACTAGCAGGAAACTTCCCGGGTTTGGAGAAAGACAGAGACATCCAAGTACAGGAAGCTCATAGACCCGTAATAAACATGACCAAAAGAGATCCTCACCATGATACATTGTAATCAAACTCACCACAGTGAAACATAAAGAAAAGATCATAAAATGTGCAAGAGAGAAACGTCAGATTACTCTCAGAGGATCTCTAATTACACTCACAGCACACTTCTCATCAGAAACCCTATAGGCTAGGAGGGAATGGCGAGATGCAGCCCAGGTATTAAGAGAAAAAAACTGCCGCCCAGAATATTATATCCTGCAAAGCTCTCATTTGTGAATGAAGGTGAAATAAAGACCTTTCATAGCAAACAGAAATTGAAAGAATTTGTTGCTACTTGTCTAGCCCTGCAAAAGATCCTTAGAGATGTGTTACACACAGGAACACAGAAACATGGCCATCAATATGAAAGAAGGTAAAGAAAGAAAACCTCTTAGTAAAAGATCACAGGAAGCTCAAAGCATATATTAGAAAAATCTTTGGGGAAAATGGCAGGGCAAAGTTACTACTTATCAACAGTCACATTGAATGTTAATGGCCATAACTCTCCAGTTAAAGACACAGACTGGCTGAATGGATTAAGGAACAAAACCCATCTATTTGCTGCTTACAAGAAACACATCTTTCCAACAAAGATGCATGCAGACTGAAAGTGAAAGGCTGGAAAAAGATATGCCATGCCAACAGAAACCAAAAAAAAAAAAAAAAAAAAAAAGCTGGCATAGCCATATTAATATCAGACAAAATAAACTTTAACACAAAAACTGTTAAGAGAGACAAAGGGAGGCACTATATAATGATTAAGGGATCAATTCAACTGTAACTATTATAAATGTAACTGTTATAAATATATATGCACCTAATTTCAGGGCACTGGTTTATTTAAAAGATATGTTAAGGGACTTAAAGAGAGACTTAGACTCCAATACAATAGTACTGGAGGACTTCAATACCCCACTCTCAGAAACAGACAGATCAACCGGACAGAAGATCAACAAGGAAACAGCATATTTAAACAACTCTATAGCCCAAAAGGATGTAATACATATCTACAGAACTTTAAATACTACACTTAAAGAATTTACATTCTTCTCAGCAGTGCATGGAACCAACTCTAGGATTGACCACGTACTAGGCCATAAAGCAAGTCTCAGCAAATTCAAAAGAATTAGAATCATACGATGCAGCTTCTCAGACCACAGTGGAATGAAGTTGGAAATCAGCAACTCAGGAATCCCTAGAGCATATGCAAACACATGGAGATTGAACAACATGCTCCTGAGTGAACACACTGGGTCATAGAAGAAATCAAAAGAGAAATCAAAAAATTTCTGGAAGTAATTGAGGATAACAGCACAACATATCAAAACTTATGTGATACAACAAAAGCAGTGTTAAGAGGAAAGTTTATAGCAATAGGTGCCTACATCAAGAAATTGGAAAGGCACCAAATAACTAAGCTTTCAATGCATCTCAAGGATCTAGAAAAACTACAGCAAACCAGACCCAAAACTAGTAAGAGAAGAGAAATAATTAAAATCAGAGAAGAAATCAACAGGATTGAATCCAAAAAAAAAAAAATTACAAAAGATCACTCAAAGGAAGAGCTGGTTTTTTTTTTTTTGAAAAAATAAACAAAATTGACACACCACTGGCCCAACTAACAAAAAAAGAAAAGACCCAAATCAATAAAATCAGAGATGAAAAAGGAAATGTAACAACAGACACCACAGAAATAAAAAGAATCATCAGAAATTACTATAAGGACTTGTATGCCAGCAAACAGGGAAATCTGTCAGAAATGGATAGATTCCTGGACACATGCAACCTACCTAAATTGAACCAAGAAGACACAGAAGTCCTAAACAGACCCATAATTGAGACAGAAATTGAAAGAGTAGAAAAGGCCCTCCCAACAAAGAAAAGGAACAGATGGATTCACTGCTGAATTCTTCCAGATATTTGAAGAAGAATTAACTCCAATTCTTCTCAAACTATTCAGAACAATCAAAAAGAGGGAATCCTCCCAAATTGTTTCTATGAAGCCAGCATCACCTTAATTCCTAAGCTGAAAAAAGATGCAGCATTGAAAGAGAATTACAGAGCAATATCCCAGATGAACATAGATGCAAAAATCCTCAAAAAAATCTGGCTAAAAGAAAGCAACAACACATCAGAAAGATCATCCACCCAGACCCAGAGGGATTTATCCCTGGTATGCAGGGATGGTTCAATGTTTGCAAATCAATCAATGTGATACACCACATTAACAAACTGCAGAAGAAAAACCATATGATTATCTGAACAGATGCAGAGAAAGCATTTGATAAAATACAACACCCTTTCATGATAAAACTCTAAGCAAATTAGGTATAGAAGGAACATTCCTCAACACAATCAAAGCAATTTATGAAAAACCCACGGCCAGCATCCTATTGAATGGGGAAAAGTTGGAAGCATTTCCACTGAGATCTGGTCCCAGACAGGGATGCCACTCTCACCACTGCTATTCAATATAGTTCTGGAAGTTTTAGCCAGAGCCATTAGGCAAGAAAAAGAAATTAAAGGGATACAAATTGGGAAGGAAGAACTCAAACTATCCCTCTTTGCAGATGACATGATTCTGTATTTAGGGGACCCAAAGAACTCTACTAAGAGACTATTGGAACTCATAGAAGAGTTTGGCAAAGTAGCAGGGTATAAAATCAATGCACAAAAATCAACAGCCTTTGTATACACAGGCAATGCCATGACTGAGAAAGAACTTCTAAGATCAACCCCATTCACAATAGCCAGAAAAACAATGAAATACCTTGGAATAAACTTAACCAAGGATGTCAAAGATCTCTATGATGAGAATTACAAAATCTTAAAGAAACAGAAGAGGATACCAAAAAATGGAAGAATCTTCCATGCTCATGGATTGGAAGAATCAATATCATCAAAAAGTCCATTCTCACAAAAGCAATTTATAGACTCTATGCGATACCAATCAAAATACCAAAGATATTCTTCTCAGATCTGGAAAAAATGATGCTAAAATTCAAATGGAGGCACAGGAGACTACGAATAGCTAGAGCAATCTTGTACAACAAAAACAAGCTGGAGGCACCACAATACCAGATTTCAGGACATACTACAAGGCTTTTATAATCAAAACAGCATGGTACTGGTACAGAAACAGATGGATGGACCAATGGAACAGAATAGAAACACCAGAAATCAATCCAAACATCTATAGCCAACTTATATTTGATCAGGATCTAAAACCAATTCCTGGAGCAAGGACAGTCTATTCAATAAATGGTGCTGGGAAAACTGGATTTCCACGTGCAGAAGCATGAAGCAAGACCCCTACCTTTCACCTTACACAAAAATCCACTCAACATGGATTAAAGACTTAAATCTATGACCCGACACCATCAAATTATTAGAGAACATTGGAGAAACCCTGCAAGATATAGGTACCGGCAAAGACTTCTTGGAAAAGACCCTGGAGGCGCAGGCAGTCAAAGCCAGAATTAACAATTGGGATTACATCAAATTGAGAAGTTTCTGTACTTCAAAAGAAACAGTCAGGAAAGTGAAGAGGCAACTGACAGAATGGGAAAAAATATTTGCAAACTATGCAACAGATAAAGGGTTGATAGCCAGAATCTACAAAGAGATCAAGAAACTCCACAACAACAAAACAAACAACCCACTTAAGAGATGGGCCAAGGACCTCAACAGACATTTTTTCAAAGGAGGAAATCCAAATGGCCAACAGACACATGAAAAAATGTTCAGGATCACTAGCAATCAGGGAAATGTAAATCAAAACCACAGTGAGGTTTCACCTCACCCCGGTTAGAATGGCTCACATTCAGAAATCTACCAACAACAGATGGGAATGCAAACTGGTAAAGCCACTATGGAAATCAGTCTGGAGATTCCTCAGAAACCTGAATAAACCCTACCATACAACCAAGCCATCCCACTCCTTGGAATTTACCCAAAGGAAATTAAATTGGCAAACATAAAAGCTGTCTGCACCTTAATGTTTATTGCAGCTCAATTCACAATAGCTAAGACCTGGAATCAACCTAAATGCCATCAACAGTAGACTGGATGAAGAAATTATGGGACATGTAGTTTATAGAATACTATACAGCAGTTAAAAAAAATGAAATCTGGTCATTTGCAACAAAATGGAAGAATCTGGAAAACATCATGCTGAGTAAAATAAGCTAGTCCCAAAGGGACAAATATCATATGTTCTCCCTGATCGGTGACAGCTAACTGAGCACCAAAAAGGAAACTTGTTGAAGTGAAATGGACACTATGAGAAACAATGAGTTGATCAGCCCTTGTCCTGACTGTTGATGAACAACTTAATACTTTATCCCTTTTAGTATTTTTTGATCTGCTTAACATTATTGGTTGAACTCTTTAATTAACACACAGTTATTCTTAGGTGTTTAAATTTAACTGAAAAGTAATCCCTATTAAATATAAGAGTGGGAATAAGAGAGGGAGGAGGTGTACAATTTGGGACATGCTCAATCGGACTTGCCCCAAACGGTAGAGTTAGAAATGTGTCAGAGGATTCCAATTCAATCCCATCAAGGTGGCATGTACCAAAGCCATCTCACTAGTCAAAGTGATCAATTTCAGTTCACAAGTGATCATGATGAGAAGTTTAAGCGTCAAAGGGATCACATAAACAAGACTAGTGTCTGCTAATACTAACTGACAGAATTAAAAAGGAGAGAACGATCCAACATGGTAAGTGGGATACACAGCAGACTCATAGAATGGCAGATGTCCTAAACAGCATCTGGCCTCAGAATCAGCCCTTAAGTCATTCGGATCAGGCTGAAGATCCCATGAGAGTATTTTAGGCATAGAAAGCCAAGACACTCTGGGGAAAAAAAAAAAACTAAATGAAAGATCTCTGCGAGTGAGATCCCAGTGGAAAGAATGGGCCATCAAAGAAGGAGGCACCTTTCTCTGAAGGGAGGAGAGAACTTCCACTTTGAATATGGCTTTGTCTAAATAAGATCTGAGTTGGCGAACTCAAAAGGCTTCCATAGCCTTGGCAACTCATGACAAGAGCCTAGGGTGATTACTGACGCCATAAACAAGAGTGTCAATTTGTTAAGTCAACAACAGGAGTCACTGTGCACTTATTCCCCATGTAGGATCTCTGTCCTTAATGTGTTGTACAATCTGAATTAATGCTATAACTAGTACTCAAACAATACTTTACACTTTGTGTTTCTGTGTGGGTTCAAACTGTTGAAATCTTTACTTAGTATATATGAAATTGATCTTCTGTATATAAAGATAATTGAAAATGAATCTTGATGTGAATGGAATGGGAGAGGGAGCGGGAGATGGGAGGGTTGCGGGTGAGAGGGAAGTATTGGGGGGGGGGGAGTCACTGTAATCCAAAAGCTGTACTTTGGAAGTTTATATTGATTAAATAGAAGTTAAAAAATAAAAAATAACCTCCTGAATATCATAGTTTTTCCTTTCCTTATTGTGTAGAGAAACACAATTTTCCATTGTTAACTGGGATTGAATGACCTCAAGCAATACAGCAATTCCTGTGTTTGTTGATTCAGTGACAGAAGAATACCAAATTGCTAATTGGTAGACTTTACTTCCAGTAGATTGGAACCATTGAAGCGTTCTTGGTAGAAGCATTCCTTCCTTGGGGATTGTGTCAGACACTTCTGGTACTACTTCAGATTCTCGCAGCTATCATATCTTATTCCAGACACAGCTGTAGTAACCAGCTCTGCACAAACATCAACCAGCTTCATGGAGATACAGCCTGAAAGCATTACCTCAGGACTACTCCACCTGCTTCTTGTCCTACTATAGGATTCCTCCGAGTCCATGGAGTGATTTATCATGGAAAATCAGCTTGATGCTTATACATTCACAATCTAACAGTGTAGAGAAATCAATGCCCTATGGGTCAACCCTACAAAACGGGTGCTGGGAGAGCTAACAGATTTATGCCTTAGTCACTCTTTGTGGTGGCCAACTTAAGCATCCTTGTTCAGGCCTCTCTTAATCCCTATTTAACACCCCTCCATACCTTCCACTGCATGAGATAAAATTCTCAAATATAACTCCTCACACATAAAATGTTGTCTCAGTCTCTATTTTTTACACAACTCAGGCTGACAGAAAGTAATCTCTCGGCCGGCGCCGCGGCTCACTAGGCTAATCCTCCGCCTAGCGGCGCCGGCAGACCGGGTTCTAGTCCCGGTTGGGGCGCCGGATTCTGTCCCGGTTGCCCCTCTTCCAGGCCAGCCCTCTGCTGTGGCCAGGGAGTGCAGTGGAGGATGGCCCAGGTGCTTGGGCCCTGCACCCCATGGGAGACCAGGAAAAGCACCTGGCTCCTGGCTCCTGCCATCGGATCAGCGCGGTGCGCCGGCCGCAGCGCGCCGGCCGCGGCGGCCATTGGAGGGTGAACCAACGGCAAAAGGAAGACCTTTCTCTCTGTCTCTCTCTCTCACTGTCCACTCTGCCTGTCAAAAAAAAAAAAAAAAAAAAAAAAAAAAAAAATCTCTCTAAACCAGCAGAGCCCAAAATTGGAGGAGGGGTCCTAAGAGACTGTTATTTGTTCTAATAATAATAATGAAAGAAGGCTGTCCTACTCCCACCTCTTGATTCCCAGGGTTGTGAATCACAGCTATGGGACAAATATAATCATGTATGGGTTTCTGGTTCAAAATACATATCATATTCTATACACTAATTTTTGTAAGTTTATTTACTGATTTATTTTAGCACTTTCTCTTTTTTAAAGATTTATTTATTTTTATTTGAAAGACAGATTATTTTTAGCACTTTCAACAATGGCACATAGTAGAGCATCAATGAATATTTGAATTAAAGGAACTGCATAAACTAGCAGATCCAGAACAATGCACAATAGCAGTACCAATAATGGGCATACTTGACATGCTGCTGATGGTAGGAATGTCTGTGGTACTTCCCCCAAAGCTGGTTTGGGCGATGATTCCAATGTATATTATCCCATATTAAAGAAACATCTATAACTACTATTATAGAATGTTTTTATCTGAAATGGCTGTTGAATATTAGCAAATATTCCATTTTAATACAAACAAAATTATTTTTCAGAAATTATTTCTATATTTAAAAGGTTTTAAATATTTTATTTTGTTTTTAACAAACACACAGTAACAGCACACGCCTCTAGGGTACAATGAAACATTCTAATACATTTATGAGTACACAATGTATATAAATCGAGACAATCAACAGCTCCATCTCCCATTACTGTCCCATGTCACAGCATTTGAACTCCTCTATTCCAGCCATGTCACTGTAAACTACAGACCACATGCTGTAGACCACTGTAGAGCACCAATAATGTATTCTTTATTTATTGCTGTATTTTGGTATCCATTATCCAACCTCCCTCTCCTTCTATACTTCTACTTTCCAGTCTCTAGTAATCAACATAACACCTGAATGTACCCAAGTCTGATATCAGAAGCCATGCAGGCTTGCTTAGTACTTGCATGGGAGGATGTAAGTATTTTAACTCAGCAAATAAAATATACAAATGCAGTAGAGATAAAACCACGGAGATGGTAAATTTAACAGAAAATACCTCAATACCTCAATTTAGTGCATAGCATGAATTTCCCTTATCACTATCTAAATTTCATTCATTACTTTAGTACAATACCTCATCTCAGCATCTACAATTTTAACAAATGCTTGGAAAGTTTTTTGTTCAGAAACAGATGCCGGTCTGACAGAAACACATTTGAAAATGTTGTTCTTCTGGTCATAGTTGCCAACACATCTATGGACTTGGCCTCTAATCAGTCTTGGAAGTTCACGATCCTGTTTGTACAATATGAAAAAAATCATCAAAATTTCAAATTTCTGAGTCAGGACCCCACTGCTGACAAGACTACGGTATCAGACATATATGGGAGTCCTATCACAGGACAGACCCTTACTTGGGTAGGGCATAGCTTCTTAGAAGACTAAATATAATGGCACACTATTTTATAGACTGCCAGAATTGTACTTCCAGTAGATGGCAGAAGAGGTGGGTCTGGTCAACTCTCCAGGTGAGAACAACTAGCTGGATAAATAGATTGCAGGGGCCGGCACTGTGGCGCAGTGGGTTAATGCCATGGCCTGAAGCGCCAGCATCCATATGGGTGCCGGTTCTAGTCCCAGCTGCTCCTCTTCCAACCCAGCTCTCTGCTATGGCCTGGGAAAGCAGTAGAAGATGGCCCATGCACCCGCGTGGGAAACCTGGAAAAAGCTCCTGGCGCCTGGCTTTGGATCGGCACAGCTCCAGCCATTGCGGCCATCTGGGGAGTGAACCATCAGAAGGAAGACCTCTCCCTCTCTCTCTACCTCTCCTCTCTGTGTAACTCTTTCAAATAAATAAATAAATCTTTAAAAAAAGAAATAGCTCACTAAAAGTCTCCTTGTATGCATCAGGGACATATCAAGGCAGTAAGGAATTAGAGACCTCATCTGGGAGAGTATCAGTCAAGGATGGGCCTGAGCATGGGGATGTTTTCGCATTCAGATATCTGCCAACTACAGAAAGGCAGCTGAGAGTCTGAGAAACTGAGTAGAGCTTTTGATAGACTCATTGATCCAGGAGAACAAAAATAGAATAGAATCTGAGGCCCCTAAGAAAAAAAGATTTGAGAACCCATTCCCACCTCTCCCCAGTCTTAGTGTTGGAACCCAAAAAGGCTATGCCTTTAATGGAATTAGCAAACCAGAAAAAGAACAACAATATCCAAATCTCCTCAAATCCTGAATACAATTAAAGCATTCTGAAATGGTTTTCACTCAAAGGTCATAGAAAGCACCAATTATAAGAAGAAAGACTAGTATTGATAAAATGATTATATTAAAATTAAAATGTTCTGTTTATCAAAATCTACCATTAACAGGGAAAAGCAAATCATGGATCATGATAAAACATTTAAAATACACAAAACAAAGAATTTGTACCTAGAGTAGTTTTTTAAACCTCTATAAATCAATAATAAAGAGACAAATAATTCCACATGTAAATAGTACCTAAGTGGCCAGTAAACATATGAAATGGGGGCCAGTATTATGGCACAGTAAAGCCACTGCCTATGATGCTGGCATATCATATAGGTGCCAGTTGGAGTCCAAGCTGCTCCACTTCCCATCCAGCTTCCTTCTAATGACCTGGGAAAAAGCAGTGGAAGATGGCCCAAGTGTTTAGATCCCTGCCAACAATGTGTGAGACCCAGATGAAACTTCTGGCTCCTAGCTTTGGCCTGACCCAGCCCTGGCCTTTGTGGTCATCTGGGGAGTGAATAAGCAGGTGTCTGTCTCTCTCTCTCTCTCTCTCTCTCTCTCTCAAATAAATATACAAAATATTTAAAATCAAAGAAACAAACAAAAATATGAAGCAGTGATCACCCTCATCAGTAACCATGAGAATCATGCAGAATTGAAATAACATTAAACTTACCCACCAGGATGACTAAACACTGACATTACTACATGTTGATAAGGATGCAAAGAAATCACAACCCTTGTATACTGCTTGTGAGTGTATAAATTGAAACAACCTCTAGAAAAGATTCTTCAGCAGTAACTACTGTAATCAGAATATATAACCATCTGTAGTCCAGCTAGTTTACTTCTAGGTATATTCCAAACACAAATGCATGTCTATACAGAAGATATATATTCAAGAATGCTCATTAAAAAATAAACAAAATTGATACAAATGGCTTCACTGCTGAATTCTACCAGACATATAAAGAAGAACTAATTCCAATTCTTAAGCTATTCAAAATAACTAGAAGGAATGAATCCTCTCAAACTCCTTCTATGAAGCCAGTATAACCCTAATTCCTAAACCAGAAAAAGAAACAACAGAGAAAGAGAACTACAGCCCAATCTCCCTGATGAACATAGATGCAAAAATCCTCAACAAAATACTAGCCAACTGAATCCAACAACACATCGGAAAGATCATTAACCTGGACCTAGTAGGATTTATCCCTGGTAAGCAAGGATGGTTCAACATTTGCAAATCAATAAATTAATAAATACACCACATTAACAAACTGGAGAAAGAAACCATATGATTATTTCAGTAGATGAGAGAAAGTATTTGGTAAAATACAACATCCTTTCATAATAAAAACCTAAAACAAATTGGGTATAGAAGGAACATTCCTCAACACAATCAAGGCAAATCTATGACAAACCCACAGCCAGCATCTTACTGAAGATGGAAAAGTTGGAAGCATTCCCACTAAGATCCAGAATCAGACTAGGATGCCCACTCTCATCATTGCTATTGAATATAGTCCTGGAAGTTTTGGCTGGAGCTATTAGGCAAGAAAAATAAATCAAAGGATGCAAATTGGTAAGGAGGAAATAAAACTATCCCTATTTGCAGATAATATGATTCTCTACATAGGGGAACCAAAAGACTCCACTAAAAGACTACTGGAACTCATAAAAGAGTTCGGTAACATGACAGGATATAAAATTAACACAAAAAAATCAATAGCCTTTGTATATAATGAAGACAATGCCATGGCTGAGAAAGAACTGTTAAGATCAATCCCATTCACAATAGCTACAAAAGAATTAAATATACTGGAATAAATTTAACCAAGGAAGTCAAAGATTTCTATGTTGAAAATTTTAAAACATTAAAGAAAGAAGAGAAGAAGACATAAAAAATGGAAAAATCTTCCATGTTCATGGATTGGAAGAATTAATACCATCAAAATGTCTATACTACCAAAAGCAATTTACAGATTCAATGCGATCCCAACCAAAATACCAATGACATCTTTCTCAGATCTAGAAAAAATGCTAAAATTCATAGGGAAACACAGAGACCCCAAATAGCTAACACAATATCTTTTTTAAAGATTTAGTTATTTATTTATTTGAAAGGCAGAGTTACAGAGAGGCAGAGGCAGAGAGAGAAAGAGAGGTCTTCCATCCATTGGTTCACTCCCCAAATGACTGCAATGGCCAGAGCTGGTCCGATCTAAAGCCAGGAGCCAGGAGCTTCTCCCACACAGGTGCAGAAGCCCAAGCTTTCCCAGGCCATAGCAGAGAGCTGGATCAGATGTGGAGCATCTGGCACTCAAACTGGCACCCATATGGGATGACAGCACTGCAGGCAGCTAGACCACAGTGCCATCCCCACTAAAGCAATCTTAAATAACAAAAACAAAGCAGGAGGTATCACAATACCTGATTTTAAGACATATTACAAGGCATTTATAATCAAAACAGCTTGCTACTGGCAAAAAAAAAAAAAAGACATGTAGACCAATAGAACAGAGTAGAAACTCCAGAAATCAATCCATGCATCTACAACCAACTTATCTTTGACAAAGGAGCTAAAATCAATCCCTGGAGCCAGGACAGTCTCTTTAACAAATGATGCTGGCAAAACTAGATCTCTATGTGCAAAAGTTTGAAACAATACCTCTACTTAAACTTTACACAAAAATCCACTCAAAATTAATCAACGACCAAAATCTATGACCCAATACCATCAAATTACTAGAGAACACTGGGGAAACCCTGCAAAACACTGACTTAGGCAAAGAGTTCTTGGAAAAGATCCCAGAATCAATCAAAAGGCAATCAAAGCCAAAATTGACAAATAGGATTATATCAACCTGAGAAGCTTCTGCACTGTAAAAGAAACAGCAAAGTGGAGAGGCAACTGATAGAATAGGAGAAAATATTTGAAAACTATGAAACTGATAAAGGATTAATATCCAGATCTGTAAAGAACTCAAGAAACTTGGCCAGCACTGTGGCTCACTAGGCTAATCCTCCGCCTGCAGCGCCAGCACACAGGATTCTAGTCCTGGTTGGGGTGCCAGATTCTGTCCCGGTTGCTCCTCTTCCAGTCCAGCTCTCTTCTGTGGCCCAGGAGTGCGGTGGAGTATGTCCCAGGTCCTTGGGCCCTGCACCCACGTGGGAGACCAGGAGGAAGCACCTGGCTCCTGGCTTTGGATCGCTGCAGCGTGCCGGCTGCAACACACCTGACGTAGCGGCCACTTGGGAGGTGAACCAATGGAAAAAGGAAGACCTCTCTCTCTCTCTCTCTCTCTCTCTCTCTCTAACTCTGCCTGTTTAAAAAAAAAAAAGAAAGAAAGAACTCAAGAAACTCAACAACAAGAAAACAATCTAGTTAAGAATTTTGCAAATGACTCTAACAGGCATTTTCAAATGGCCATTAGACACATGATCACTAGCTACCAGGGAAATGCAAATAAAAACCACAATGAGGTTTTACCTCACCCCAGTAAGAATGGCTCTCATACAGAATCAAAAACAATAAATACTGGTGAGGAGGTGGGGGGAAAAGGTACCCTAATGCACTGTTGGTGGCAACATAAACTAGTGCAGCCTTTGTGGAAGACAGTATGGAGATACCTCAGAAATATGAAAATAGATCTACAATATGATCCAGCAATCTCACTCCCGGGAATTTACCCAAACAAAATGAAAACAGCCGATGAAAGAGTTATCTGTACCCTACGTTCACTGCAGCTCAGTTCACAATAGGTAAGATATGGAATCAACCCAGATGTCCAATTAATGACTGGATACAGAAATTATGATACATACACATTGCCAAATACTACTCAGAAGTAAAAAAACAATCTTGTATTTTACAACAAAATGGATGCAATTAGAAACCATTATACTGAGTGAAATAAGCCAATCATTAAAAGACAAGTACCATGTGTTTCCTGATCTTTGGTAACTAATACAGTACCTAAAATATAATGTACAGAAATGAAATTGACATTTTGAGATTTGATCATTGTTTACAGCCTTTGTCCCTGCTATTGTGGAACAGTATTTTTCTCTTCATATTACTTGTTGAAGACTTTACTTACTGTAGGATTAATCTTATGAGTATAAAGTAAACTGAAAATAGTTCTTTATAAAAATTAAGAGTGGAAATAGGAGAAGGAGGAAGAAGGGTGGGAGCCTGGGTGGGAGAGAGAGTAGGGTATGAAATTATCAGTATGTTCCTAATTCTGCATATATGAAATACCTGAAATCTGTGTACATTAAATAAAATCTCAAAAAAAGAATGTTCATACAGCAGTATGCATAATAGCCAAAAATCTGAAAATAACCCAAATGTCCACCAACAATAAAATGAAATACTAAATTTTGGTACATTTATACAACAGCAAACATATCAATATAAATGAATGAATTATAGCTACATACACCAACACAGATGGATTCTATAAACATGTTGAGTGGAAGAAAGCAGACATTTAAAAATGCCATGTGATTCCATTTACATAAAGTTCAAAAGCAGGCAAAATTGGATTTCTGACACTAAGTCACAACAGTGGTTACTTTTAGGTAGAAGACAAGAGATAGTGAATGGGAGGAGGCACAAGAGGGGTCCAGGAATGATGGTGATGTTTTATTTCTTTTTTTTTTTTTTTTTTTGACAGGCAGAGTTAGACAGTGAGAGAGAGACAGAGAGAAAGGTCTTCCTTCTGTTGGTACATCCCCCAAATGGCTGCTACTGCCGGCTTGCTGCACCAATCCGAAGCCTGGAGCCAGGCGCTTCCTCCTGGTCTCCCATGGGGTGCAGGGCCCAAGCACTTGGGCCATCCTCCACTGCCTTCCCGGGCCACAGCAGAGAGCTGGACTGGAAGAGGAGCAACCGGGGACAGAACCCGGCACCCCAACTGGGACTAGAATCCGGGGTACTGGAGCCACAGGCAGAGGATTAGCCAAGTGAGCCGTGGCCCTGGCCAATGTTTTATTTCTTAACCTGGCAAGCGATCACTTATGAAACTTCATAGAGCTATGCAGTTACGTGCACTTTTTATATACATTACAGTTCAGTAACAAAGACTTTTTAAAACTTAGAGAAGACAATATACATTAAGATATAGAAATAAACATAATATTTACTGTTTTGATATCTACTATGTGTCCAGCACTGAACATTTGTTTTATCATCAATCTCTATTTTAATCTCTGAAAGCAGGTTAATCCCAATTCTACATATTTTTTTAAAATGAAGCTCAGATAGTTTAAGCAGCTTAGTTAGGTCATAAAGCTAGTTTATGCTGAAATAAACATTAGAATCCAAGTCTGTTTTCAGAATTGAGACAAATTTCAGACTTAAGGCCAATCTCTTTTACAAAGTATATAGCTCTCATAAGGACCCCAGCCTCCTTTTATCATTTCCAGTCTTCTTTGTCACCAAGACTCTTACTTACATCCCAACCTACTCCCTCCTTCACCAAATTTCAGAAATAGTATCCTACCCCTACTAACTATACACTTCAGTAATTATAAACTACTTGTGGTTCCCTGAATAGCTCAGGCTTCTTCTTCACTTTGTGTCTTGGCATATGCTATTCCCTTGCCACCTCTTCACCCCCTCCAAAACACAAAAGTTGGAGCAACTAAAGTTGACTCTTAAAAGTCCTTAAAGGCCGGCCCCGCGGCTCAATAGGCTAATCCTCCGCCTAGCGGTGCCGGCACACCAGGTTCTAGTCCCAGTTGGGGCGCCGGATTCTGTCCCAGTTGCCCCTCTTCCAGGCCAGCTCTCTGCTGTGGCCAGGGAGTGCAGTGGAGGATGGCCCAAGTGCTTGGGCCCTGCACCCCATGGGAGACCAGGAGAAGCACCTGGCTCCTGCCTTCAGATCAGCACGGTGCGCTGACCACAGCGCACCGCCCACGGTGCCCATTGGAGGATGAACCAACGGCAAAGGAAGACCTTTCTCTCTGTCGCTCTCTCTCACTGTCCACTCTGCCTGTCAACAACAACAACAACAAAAAAGTTATAAAGACCTCAGTTACCACTTTTCTTTGAAAATCTTTCCCTGACCTGTCCAATCCTTCTGATCTGCTTCAATAGCACCCTGAATATATCTCTACCATATCATTTCCACAGTGTAACATTTTATACACCTTTCTAATTGAAATTATAAACTCTGAAAGAGCCATTAATCACTCATATTCCACTTTATACCCCTTGCACTCAGCAGTGTCTGACACACAGTAGATCCTTCACATTAGTTAACCAAATAAACAACTTTAACAACAGAACTAAAATGAAAAAAACATATTTAAAGTACTAATAAATTAACATAATTTCTATTGCAATGGAATTATATACTGTATTTTTATGTTTTGTTAGCATAAGCTTTGCAAATAACACTTTAAAATACTCACAATTTCGTAAAATATACAAGGCAGAGTATTTTTCCCATCTCTCATAAGAAAAGTCTTGGAATAATATGGACCAGGTGTAACAGCTGAATCTAGAACAGCTTAAGCAACATTGAAATAGGGGGAAAATCAATATTGGTAAAATGCAAACAAAATTTAGCAAACAGAAGTTGATGTTTAAATCACTGTTACCATACCAATTAATACAGCTCTATTTATAGAGTCATAAAGATTTAAAGTGTGAGTTGTTTTAGTGCACAAAAATTTTGAAATCCATGTATGATTTTTTTCATAACTCATTTTCTACATATTATGAAAAACTTTCATACAAAAAAATTTTTGCACCAAAATAAACTTGTTTTAATTTTTTCTGCATGAACTTTTTAAAGTACCTTTGTGTGTCAAGTTCTTATAACTGATAGTATCAGGCCCTCTAAAGTTTTTTCTTTAGAATTTGTTCTACAAGAATTAAATTCCCAAACCATCTCCTAACTTATAACAATAAACACTATTGCAAATAAGTATCATCATGTAATGAAAATGGTAAATCCAAATCAGAAGTTATATATTCTATCACAGTTCCCCAACTTAGTAACATTTGTGATTTTGAAAAAATTGGGGTTAATTTATTTTCATTGTACATTTTTAAAGTGTACAACACAATATTTTATATACATAGTGAAATTATTACTATAAATAGGCAAATTAACGTTATCTATCACCTTCCATACTTAGCTTCTTGTGTGTGGTAAGAGTGCTTAAGATCTATGATCTTAGAAAATTCTCAACATATAATCATGAATATTAACTATAGTCCTCCTGCAGCACATTAAATCTCTAGTCTTCTTCATCCTACATAACTGCAAATTTGTACCCTATGACCTGCATCCCCTCAAGTCTGCCCATTAAGCAAACTGCTTAACCTATTTCAAAGTTGTTGCTTTACCTGTGCAAACAGTAATCAATTTTTATCTCAAGAAATTATCAAAGGACAACATGACTAATTCCTTCAGTGACCTTCTACTGAGTACTGTAATGAATGCTTGTTATTTTGAGATCAGAATATATTTTCTTTATAAGGACCAGATATTTCTATAGGAAACTTCTCCTCTTCCACTGTTAGCCATAAAATTTGGATGGGATTTGTCTCTACCTTCAGACACAGGTACACCTATAACTACCTTAAGTCAATTGGCATTCCACTCCCCAGCAACAGTCAGTGAAGGGCATGTTAGTCAGTCAGAAATGATAGATGACAGATGATAGATAAATAATAATTTGTTAGTTTCTGGGAAAGAGCAACCAGAACAATCTTATTGAAGAATGTGACACCATGGCACAAGGATGCATGCTCTAGAGAACTTGATAATCAGTCAGAAGCTGCTGTAGACACTGTAGTGTGGAGCCTTAGGATGAAGCCAGCACTGTGAAAGCACAGAAACCATTTGTGCCATCTCCTAAGCAACTGGATTAAGCCTTTCCTGAATTCAGAGACTAGAAAAGTTTTCAGCTCTGTGGATAAATCCCTAACTTATTTAAGCAGCTGAAGTTGATTTTGTTAGTTGCAACTGAAAGGGACCTCCTACATAGTATGCATGGTTCTGGACACTAAAGTTGAATCAAATGTAGTCTCTACCTCTGGTGAGTATAGAGTCTAATCTGTTCATTGCTATTTATGTTGAGTATTGTGATATTTCAGACATTATTCTTCTGTAGTGAACCTGAACAAGTCACCAAAAGGAATTTTGGAGAGATGAATGGACGTAACATGTGCTTTTTAATGGGATAAGGTCACTTTTAATATTTCTGCTATGCAAATGAGGTAGGAACCAGAGGCATTCTTCAAATGAAGAAAAAGTCAACTGGGAAGTCCAACAGGGTTTACCAATTTTGAAACAAGATGTTCTAGCTCTGATAGAGATGGACATGAAATAGCTAACATGGTGTTACATGGCTACTGGGAATAACTAGATAAAATGAAAGCTAAGTCAAGCTTCAACACAGAGTAGAAAAAACTATACCAACCAGATTGGAAATAAGATTCAGGGAAAATAAGTAGGATTTGCAGAATGCCTGGAGAGTAGATGGGACTTTCAGAGGCCAGAGGCACAGAAACCTCCAAAAAGCCATAAAGGATAAATTAACAAAGTCAGCAGATTTTGAAAAAAAGGGTATTCTTTAGGGTTTAGAAACAGCTAGCAAACAAAAGGGCCAGGACAGAAATCCAGAGTCTAGAGAAGGTGCAGGCATTTAGCCAGCAGTTAAGATGCCTGCATCCCATATTAAAGTGTCTGGGTCCAATTCCAGTGAGTCCAGTGAAACTCACCTGGACTTTGGAACTACAGAACTTAAAAGTTTAAAAATGGTTGTTGTTTTCAGCTGCTAAGTTTCTGCTAATGTGTTATGCAGCAACAGAAAACTACTATGTGCTTTAGTCAAAGTCTGTATCTACTAAACCCAGTGTCACTTCATAAAACAATGTTTTCTTCTTGGTGGTAACCAAGAGAGAAATTAGAATTATTTTCATTCTCTGACAGAAATATGTAACTATATTAAATTATATTTATATCATATACATAAAAGTACTTCAAAAAGTTCACAAAATGGAATTAAAAGACAAGTTTAAACTATGGAAAGAAAAATATTTTGAATTTCTACTTATTACATGTTTATCTCTTCACTCTAAGGAAACAAAATTGCAACAACATTCTTTCAAACTCTCTCCATTTTCTTTTTTCTTTTTTTTTAATTGACAGTGAGAGAGAGACAGAGAGAGAAAGATCTTCCTTCCGTTGGTTCATCCCCCAAATGGCCACTATGGCTGGAGCTACACCGATCCGAAACCAGGAGCCAGGTGCTTCTCCTGGTCTCCCATGCGGGTGCAGGGCCCAAGGACCTGGGCCATCCTCCACTGCACTCCCTGGCCACAGCAGAGAGCTGGACTGGAAGAGGAGCAAGTGGGACTAGAACTAGAGCCCATATGGGATGCCAACACCGCAGGCGGAGGATTAACCAAGTGAGCCACTGCGCTGGCCCCTCTCCATTTTAAATACCAATTCAGAAAACAAATTAATTGTAAGGCATTTATTCTTATCTGTAAAAAAATTTCTTAAATGTTCTTTCAGAGTATTTAGAACATGATGTAATGTTTATATAAAATAACTACTGGATTACTGCAATATAGTATAAATAACAATAGATTGAGAAAGGAGGCTTGGATACCAGATCCATCTCTACTGCTAACCTGCTTTGTGATTTCAGACAATCTATTCATATTTTAATTATCTGTTCCATTTCCTTACCTAACTCAAAGGACTGGTTTAGATTACTTGCAAGAGTCTTTCCAGATATAACGTCATGAATTAAAACTACTACCATAAATAACCAAATACTTCATTCACACAAATCAATAACTGGCCCAGAAAATCCTAAAAAAAAACCCCACAATTTTCTTTTACAAAATTTCATTTTTCAAGATCCCCTAGATATTCTTTTTGACATTAAAAACTGTTTTCCAAACGGTGTGACTGAAATATTTCTGAAGTATGATACGTACCTAACAGTTCAAAAAGAAGTACAGCTTTCTGTGCATGTTCACGCCAATACTTCATGCTTTCAATAACCACAGAAAGAATTCTTAACGAATTATTTTTTTCCTTAAACTGCAGCTGAAATGAGGCTTCCTTTGAAAAAATAAAAATACAGGATTAGAAATTATTTTCTCTTTTTCATTATACTCTTTCACCTTCTGTATAAAGATCCTAGGTCCTCATAAAAGACAAATACATAAAATGTGTATAAAGAACTTGTCGAAGTTTTAATACAATTATTTCCTTAAATTAAAGCCATTATTAGTACACTATAAGAGGAGAAACTAGGATGTACTTGAAGACAGTCAAGAAGAGAATTATTTATTATATTCACTCATTTTTTTCATTTGTTGAATATTTCTAAATTATCAAGTGCCAGATCCTGTGATAAACTCAGATATGTAAAACAACTCCTTTCCCTAATGTGCTGACACTTTAAAAGGGGAACCAGACACATTCACTCATTTCGAAAGTATTTTTTAGGCAGCAAATATATGTCAATCACTAAGGAAATATCAGCAAACAAACAAGATATCTGCCCTCACAGATTTTAGTCTAGAGGCTGAATATTTTATTTTATTTTATGAATACCTCAGCAATTGATGCATTCTATTAATTCATACAAATCAATTTAAAAATTAAAAAAAAACGTGGAGGGTAAAAGGATAGAGGTTATTTTAAATGGGTTATTGAGGACTGACCAGTGTAAAGACCCTAAGATGAAAATATGCTTGGCATTTTTTAAGATCAACTAGGAATACTTGTGTAGTGTATTAAAATACTACTTTTCAAGAGTGTGAAAACACTTTTTTCATGAGAGTGAGGGCTATAAAGAACACTTGCTGGAACTTTTTTTTTTCCAAAATGCAACTACTTTCCCTTTTTCTCCCCCACCTAAAGTTCTATTATACCTCCTGTTACTAAGATGACTCTGTCCTATCATTCTTGTGTACAAGGAAATATAAGAAAATCACTGTGATACACACTATACAAGGCATATCTCCAAGAAAAAAAAAGAATTTTTTTCATATATATAGGCAGAACAAGCATAAGGTACGTAAGTGCCCAAAGATTAAAAAGACTAAGAAGGTGTCACTACTCCTAGGCTGAAAGAATAGAAGAAAAAATAAAATTACCAAACTCATGAAAGCTGGACTCATGGATGAGCTGTGTCATGCAGGGACACAGCCACTGCTCAACATATTTAAATATGGAGAAAATGGGGAAATCCGACCACCCCTTCCCACCCTTTGATGTCCTCCTAGTGACTCCCCTTGGCTGACCTCCAGCAGAAGTCAACAAATAATGAATCCTAAAACCATGCACTATTGTAGGATGATTCAACCTTCCAGAGCACAGACAAGAATATGTGAAGAATCCATAAGTTGAGGGAGATGTGGTGGAGGGGGACATTATTCACCCATTCCTCTCTGTAATACCTAGCACATGATATATAGAAGATGTTTACAAAGAACAGTTAAAGCATTGTGTGTAGTGAGGAAGTGACTAGTATGGGGAAGAATATAGATCAAAGAAGAGATGTATTAGAGTATATGCAATGTTTAGAAAATCATCTTGGGGCTGGCGCTGTGGCGCAGCAGGTTAATGCCCTGGCCTGAAGCGCTGGCATCCCATGTAGGCGCGGGTTCTAATCCTGGCTGCTGCTCTTCCGATCCAGCTTTCTGCTATGGCCTGGGAAAGCAGTAGAAAATGGCCCAAGTCCTTGGGCCCCTGCACCCATGTGGGAAACCTGGAAGAAGCTCCTGGTTCCTGGCTTCAGATCAGCACAGCTCCAGCCGTTGCGCCATCTGGGGAGTGAACCATCGGATGGAAGACCTCTCTCTCTCTCTCTGCCTCTCCTCTCTCTGTGTAACTCTGACTTTCAAATAAATAAATAAATCTTTTTAAAAAATCATCTTTTTTTTTTTTGACAGGCAGAGTGGACAGTGAGAGAGAGAGACAAGAGAGACAGAGAGAAAGGTCTTCCTTTGCCGTTGGTTCACCTTAAAGAGTCTGAAATGGCTACAGCATTGAATCAGAATTACTGAAATATGGAATAGAAGGCTAGAAAGTTTGAATAGGAAAAAATTATAAAGCAGAGGTTAACAAACTATGCCTTGCAGTCCAAATCTATCCCCCTTTTTTTTTTTTTTTTTTTTTGCAAAATTTTATTGGAACACAGCCATGCCCATCCATTTATGTGTGTCTATGGCTGCTTCTAAGCTACAGCCACAAAGTTGAGCAGCAGAGCTGAGCAATCACAATAGAAACCATACAGCCTGTAAGGCCAAATATATTTATTATCTCTGCAGAATACATTTTCTGACTTCTGTAGAGAAATACTTAGGATGATATATGAACAGTCTGGATAATTTCTGCAGAAAAATGGGTCAATTGCCATAATTAGTAAAAAGTGAATATTGAAATGCAGTAGGAAAATTCTGAAAGAATTATTAAAAGGAACAACCATTCACACCCTCAAAGAAAATATTTTGCAAGCTAACATCCCATTCACTCCAATGGAACTGGCTATTTGTGCTAATCAAGTCAGGTATGCCATGGGATCAATTTCAAATATTCTTTCCTCTGTAACTTTCCAAATACTTATTTACTCCTATTTTCAAAGGTAAACAAGTCATTAAAACTTTTTACCTTTAGAGTAGTATTTTTTTCTGGAATATCATCCAACGTTTTTTTCTTAAATTGATTTTGCTGTAAATTAGGCTTAAATGCCTGAAATGCACTATTTTTGCCTAAACCTTTTATTGTTGAATCACATATTTTTGATGAATGCATTTGTCTGAGTTCTTGAGTTTCTCTGTGGTGAGGTAAGTTAGGATGTTCAGATATTTTTGATTGTTTCTGTTGTTGAGCTCCCAAACTCACTGCACAAGAATCCATTCCATCATTTGCCACTAGATTTGTTCTTTTACACTGAGACGTAGTATCATTTTTATTCCAAGCTTTTAAGCTGATATTTTTGTTGCCATCTCTGTAACTGTAATAGTAAAAACAAGTTATTTGATTCTATGTGCTTCTTCTTAATTAAAAACAATTCATGAAAGATTTCATTTACATCAAAATTTATAGGTTATAAACTACTTTGTCATTAGCTAGTTAGAAATTCCAAACACATTATCATAAATCTAGAATATATTACTATTTCTCTTTCCAGATGAGAATACTGAGCTCTTGTGGACATAATTTGCCCAAAGTCATATAGCAAGTTACTGACCAGTATAGAACCTAGAGAATGCTGGTCTCTCAACTCAGAGTCCAAAGCTATAAAGTATATTTTTAACTATACCAGCCTTCCTATAACTATGGGTTTCCTGAAGTAGTAAGACTTTGAAGACATTTGTATACTAGCATTTATTTTTAAATTGTCTACAAAAAGTTTTTAAATGAAACTGTAGTTTGTCAGTGATTTTAAATCAAAAGAAAAGAGAGTAAACAGTTCTTTCACCATGTAGCTTAAAAGCTCTACTCGTGAATCTGTTGCAGCATTTAATAGCTGCACTAATCTGAGTGATTACCAGCTAATCAGAACATTATGTTAATGAAGCCAAAATCAGAAGTATAATTTCTAAGCAGGTTAGTTAACAATTCAACAGAAAAAAAAACCAGTCCAAGTCACAAGTTCTTAATTCTGAATAATGTTCCTAAAGATATCACAAGCATTATAAGACAGCAATCAATATGACCCATTCCTTGTTTAAGAAAATAGTCCAAAAACTATCTAGGTTCATTAGTGATCAGGAGCAAATCTGGATTTTATGGAGTCTAAATTTTATATAATTGGGAAGTGCTGTTAAGTAAATTAGGTATGAAATTAAGGATGGAAATGAGAAAAGAAATAAAATTTTAAAAGTTATAAACACCACAAATATCACAATATCTAGAAAAAATTATTATTGCAATTATTAATTAATTGCCTGACATATCTCTACCAGTTTTTTCCTATATTGATCATATATCTCTTCATATGATCATCTCTTTAATCTTATAGTTTTTTTTTTTTTTTATTTGACAGGTAGTTATAGACAGTGAGAGAGAGAGAGAGAAAGGTCTTCCTTCCGTTGGTTCACTCCCCAAATGACCACTACGGCCGGAACTTCGCCAATCCGAGGCTAGGAGCCAGGTGTTTCTTCCTAGTCTCCCATATGGGTGCAGGGGCCCAAGCACTTGGCCCATCCTCCACTGCCTTCCCGGGCCACAGCAGAGAGCTGGACTGGAAGAGGAGCAGCTGGGACTAGAACTGGTGCCCATATGGGATGCCAATGCCGCAGGCAGAGGATTAACCAAGTGAGCCACGGAACCGGTCCCTGTAGTTTTGTTTTCAACAGAGAAAATAGAAATACAACTTTGTCTTTCCTCTCTCATGGCTGTGTAAATTATTTTTATTATTTACAGTCTAGAAAAATTTCTTTCAGCTTCACAACTACTTACTGGTAATAGTACATTTGAAACTTTCCCTTACATTTTTGCTCAGAAGTACCCCTAGCTTGGGGAATAGTCTTTGAATAACTAAAGACTTTCATCTCACTCAATGTTCCCTACACACAGATGCCTTAGAAACCCATCCAGCTTAGCCAGTTCCTCTACAACCCAAACAGACCATGAAGCCCAAGTTGTAGTGGCTTCTGAACAGGATAGGCGACATTATCTCCCTCAGATACTTCTTTCTGGGGAAACGACAGGCCCAGATATTCACCAAAGACCCTAAGTGCAGGCTGTTGGTAGGACCAGATGTATGTAAAGGTTTAGGTAGACATCTTCAATCAAACCTGTAGCCCTAGGAGCATCATCAGGATACAGTGGGTGAGCCCAGGGGAATGCTACACTTTACAGGGCCTACACTCTGTTCAAATTGCTGCTTTCTTCTCTGGTCCATGGATAAAGCCATGATTTAGAAAGGGATAATGCAAACGAAGGCCCTGATACTTACATATCATTAGTTTACAGTAAATTCTCCTCTATCAATATTGGATCTCTAACAGGACTATACTCAATTATTTAGTTCAGAGCGATAGGAAAATAACAGCTCTGTTAGTTCCCACAAAATATCACCAGAAGTCAGTCAAAAATTGATATATAAGAACCATTTTATCAGAACATTTTCTAAAATTTATACTGCAACCTTTTATAATACCTATTGTCATAACATTAAGAAAATTAATTTATATAAAAATTGTGGAGCAGGATTTTGGTCTAGTGATTAAGTCACTGGTTAGTATATGTGTGTCTTATTGGAGTGCTAGGTTCCATACCTACCTCTAACTCCAGATTTCAGTATCCTGCTAATGCAGATTCTTGAAGGTAGTGGTGATGGCTCAAGTAATTGGTTTATGCCATCCATGTGGGAGACCTGGACAGAGCTACTAACTCCCAGATTCAGCCTAGCCCAGTTCTGACTACTGTGGGCATTTGGAAAATGAACCAGCAGGTGGGAGTGTGCCCTCCACCCCTTCTCCTCCTCCCCCTTCCCTCTCCCTCAAAGAAATAATTTTTAAAAAAATTATAAGACTCTGAAGACTGTTAGACATAATAAATTATGGGAAGAGTGAGACTAAAAAAGGCCATGGAGAAGAGTCAAAAAAATGGTATTTTCATTTTGTTTTCATTCTGGAAAAGCCAAAATCATTTAAAACAAGGGAAGCTATTGGAATGGAAAGCACACTGACATAAAAGGCAAGACAACATGGTAATTACAAGAGACAGATATTAAATTCTCTCTGTTTCATCAGATGCCCAGAAGAGAATGGAAACCTTTGGTTTAAGCTGAAGTTCTCAGAAATCACCAAGAAATGTAAAAGATCTCAATGTTACACATTACAAGAAACGTGAAGGAGAGTTCTTTAAATGGATGAAAATATGCTAAATAGCAATATGAGAGCATAAGTATGAAACTCATTGGAAAAGACAAATATATAGATAAAATAATACAGCAAAGTCCATATTTATAGGTAATGTATCTGGATTCAGAAGCACATAAAAATATTTAAAAAAATTTTTGTACTGAACATGCATACTTTTTGTCATTCTCTGAGCAATATAGTGTTAACTATTTACACAGCATTTACTTTGCATTAGGTATTTTAAGTTACCTAGAGATTATCTGAAGTATATAGGAAGATGTGCACAGGTTAAATGCAAATACTATAGTTAACTAATTTTAGAAATTTCCTAAATGTAAATCTCCTTAGTAGAGGAGGAGGAAATAAAGGAAAAAGAAATAAACAAAAAATATAAAGGAAATGCAAACAAGAGAATAGATGAGCAAATATAAATAAACTCACCTCCAACCACTCTGGTTTCCTTCAGAATCTGATTGAATAGATTTAGACACAGACTCTTGACTTCTCAGGGTGTGAGAAACAGAATGTGGTGCTTGCCTTTTGAGGAAATATTTCTTGTTAAATATTAATAGCCTGCTTTCAAATTGATAAATATAAAATATATACAGAAGAATAACATCAGTTGGTAACAGACACATATATATTTTTCCACGTACCCTGTGTTCCTTGTTTTCATTAAAGGAGCCAACTCTGGACTTGCAGCTTCCAAGGCCCAATCTCAAAGTAACACAGATCAAAGTAAGACATGTATATTTTTTAAAATAATCACTTCATACTTACTTAATTCCTCCAATGTGGAAGAAAACAAAATAATAATAGATTTAGAAGTATAATCAAGTGGGATGAAATTAGTAACACAAATATTGTTTTATATGAAGATATTTTAAAATTCTAATTGTATAATATCCTATTAACAATTTTTAAGCTTGCCCCAAAAATGTAAATGTATGTAACAAGTATATTTCAGGGCCTGAGCCACAGCTCAATAGGCTAATCCTCCGCCTGCGGCACCGGCACACCGGGTTCTAGTCCCGGTCAGGGTGCCGCATTCTGTCCCGGTTGCCCCTCTTCCAGGCCAGCTCTTTTCTGTGGCCCGGGAGTGCAGTAGAGGATGGCCCAAGTCCTTGGGTCCTGCACCCACATGGGAGACCAGGAGAAGCTCCTGGCTCCTGGCTTCGGATCAGCGCAGTGCGCCGGTCGCAGTGCACCAGCCGCGGCGGCCATTGGAGGGTAAACCAACGGCAAAAGGAAGACCTTTCTCTCTGTTTGTCTCTCTCTCTCACTGTCCACTCTGCCTGTCAAAAATAAAAAAAAAAAAGTATATTTCAGAATTTCTGTCTGCCCAAACTTTCTTCCAGAAATAAAAGTAGCAGTAAACATTAAGACCCTCCCAACATTCAAAAACCTGAGTCAGGATTTTAGTGGCCTCACTTACAAGATGAGCTGTACCAGAGTCTTGCTGTCTCTAGGATTTAAGTCAAGAGACACAGAGGGCAGTTGACCAATGACCTCTGTAAACTAGAACCAAGAGTTGTATGGAGACTGCTAGCAATGGCAAGTTAGTTCATGTTGTGCTATCTGAAGCTTTAAGGAAGCAAACTAGATGAGAATATCTTAGACCATTTGTGATACCATAACAAAATACGGAAGACTGGGTAATTGATAAGTAATAAAAATTTACTTTTTTCATAGCTCTGGAAGCTGAGAAGTTCCAGATCAAGGCACCAATAGATTTAATGTCTGGTGAAGGCTTACTTAAGTTTCACAGATGGTGCATCTACCTGTGTCTTCACATAACCGAAGGAGCAAATAGTTTCCTTGTACCTCTTTTATAAATTCACTGATCTCATAATCACCTTCTATAGGTCCCATTTCTTAATATTAATACATTGGCAATGAATAATAATACATTGGTGGGAGCCAGCTCTGTGGTACAGTAGGTTAATCCTCCGCCTGTGGCACCAACATCCCATATCCCAGTTCTGGTCCAGGCTGCTCCTCTGATGATCCAGCTCTCTGCTGTGGCCTGGGAAAGCAGTAGAAGATGGCCCAAGCACTTGGGCCTCTGCACCCAGGTGGGAGACCCAAAGGAAGATCGTGGCTCCTGGCTTCAGATAGGCTTGGCTCTGGCCTTTGCGGCCATTTGGGAAGAGAACCAGCAGATGGAAGACATTTCTTTCTCTCTCCCTCTCACTGTCTGTAATTCTACCTCTCAAATAAATAAAATCTTTAAAAAATATATTAATACATTGACAATTAAGGTTCAATGTAGAAATTTTCAGATTATAGCAGAAAGCAGAGTCAAATGAAAAAGCCAAAATGCTGTAAGAAGAAAAAATGGCCAGGGCCAAACACCAGAAATTCCTGGGCTTCTTCCCTTCCAAATTCTTTTTTTTTTTCCCTGTATTTTTCCTGCTTCTATGCACACCTATTCCCATCCCTGAGACAACCTAAATTTTTCCATTCTTTACCACTAAATAGGTAAGTCAGAACGTCTGTACGTGTTTGAGAAAGAAAAAATAATCACTTTACAGTTCAAGTTACTACTTCTTTATAACTAAGGCTTGAAATCTAAGATACTCTGTTTAAATGCTAAGCCACCCTTGTAGATATAGAAACTCAAACTCCTGAACTGGAATATTCAGAAGGAGCCAAGTAATTTCTGTATTTGGATAGTGAAAAGAAAACCCACAAACTTTCTATGTTTTATTATAATAAAAGAGAAATTGTCATTTTCTACAAGCTTAATAATAATTTCCTGGAAATTATCACCAACTCATTTTCTTACCTGTTGGTAAAGGTGGGAAATCATAACCGTCAGAAGCAGTACTGATACCTGAATCATTTTGAAGTGGATTCGAAGTTAATGGTTGTCTGTTCCTCTTTTTCTGATTGAACAATGGTACAGGCAAACAGCCTAAATGGAAAATACTAACAAATTAGTACAAAACAGGCAAATAATTATGCCTAGCTGTAGAATAATTATTATATAATACATACAGAGTTTGAATTTTTCTGTATCTATATGTTAATATGCTTATTATAGATACACTTCTGTGTCCATGAATTGACTTTATATTCTTTGGTAAAAATTTTAAAGGCAGAGAGACAAATAGGTGGACAGAGACTTTCTATCTACTGATTCACTCTCCAAATGCCTGCAACAGCCAGATGTGCATCAGCAGGAAGCTGGATCACAATAGAGTCGCCAGGTCCAACCACTGAGCTGAATGACCCAACTCCTGAGCTAAATGCTGGAGCCTATCTGCCCCACAATTCTACATTCTTTTTAAGATCCTGAATAGCCTCATTTGTCTCTCTAAAAAGTCCTTTCTTATTCTACCTTAACATTGCTTTAATTCCTCCTGTTGGAAAGTAATTCCCATCTCCTGGCTCATTCCTAACCCTTTCCAAATCCACTTTTTGCTTTCTTAATTTCCCTCCTGTGCTTGCCTATTACCATATCAACTGGAATGGACCCTTGGAGTACAGTAAGGTGAGAAAGAACCAAACTTTGAATCAAGTTTTCCAAAACCCTAAACACTTTCCACTATGGTAACACCATCCCATTTAGAACCACGGTTCTCAAAATTTTGTTTGGCTAAGAGTTATCTGGCATTCTACTCAACATGCAGGTTCTAAGACCTCACCCTCATAAATTTTATTACAATAGGTTTAACATGGAATCCAAAATTCTGAGATTTCAACAGGCACCCCAGGTGTCTGTACTGCTCTTTCCTGTGGATTTTTTTTTTTTTTTTTACAGGCAGAGTGGACAGTGAGAGAGAGAGAGACAGAGAGAAAGGTCTTCCTTTGCCGTTGGTTCACCCTCCAATGGCCGCTGCGGCCGGCGCGCTGCGGCCGGCGCACCGCGCTGATCCGATGGCAGGAGCCAGGAGCCAGGTGCTTTTCCTGGTCTCCCATGTGGGTGCAGGGCCCAAGCACCTGGGCCATCCTCCACTGCACTCCCTGGCCACAGCAGAGAGCTGGCCTGGAAGAAGGGCAACCGGGACAGAATCCGGCGCCCCAACCGGGACTAGAACCCGGTGTGCCGGCGCCGCCAGGCGGAGGATTAGCCTAGTGAGCCGCGGCGCCGGCCTCCTGTGGATTATTTTAAGAAAGACTTAGATAGTGACAATATCTAACCCAAATGAGAAAAAAAAAATATATATATATATATATAAATAATTTATTTATTTAATTCTTCCAGATGGCAGAACTAGAGTACCAAGTCAGGCCAAAAGTCAGACATATAAACTAAAATCTAGAAGGAAATTCAAAGGAAAAAGAGGTCCAAAATCCTCATCTATTGCTGCAAAGCAAGTCACTGGAGCAACCAGGTAGGATCCAAGCTTCCTAACTCTCAGTTCAGATGTCTTGCCACTATAGCATTTTCTACCTGATTCATAATCACTGTTCTACAGGAGAATAATGGTTCTGAAAACTCTCTGATGAAAGACTAGGAGAATTATGTGATCTCTGAAGAGACTGCCTGAGTTTTAATTATGACTTCAAAGGAGGTTTGAATTACAACTCCAAAATAAAAACCTGGGCAATTTCTTTAAACTCTTTGTGCTAATACTTATACTGGGAAGCAAGACAGTATAGTGATTAAGAACATGGAAACACCCAGATTCCTAAGTTCAAATTTTGATTCTCCTATTGAATATATTACTTATTTAACTTCTCTGTGTACTGGTTTTTCATCTGGAAAACAAGGATGATGATAATAGTAGTCTATCTCAGAAAGTGGGTGTAAGAAATAAATGAATTATACATATGTATAAATTATATATATACATAAATCATATATTTGGCCGGCGCCGTGGCTCACTAGGCTAATCCTCCGCCTAGCGGCGCCGGCACACCAGGTTCTAGTCCCGGTCGGGGCGCCGGATTCTGTCCCGGTTGCCCCTCTTCCAGGCCAGCCCTCTGCTGTGGCCCGGGAGTGCAGTGGAGGATGGCCCAGGTGCTTGGGCCCTGCACCCACATGGGAGACCAGGAAAAGCACCTGGCTCCTGGCTCCTGCCATCGGATCAGCGCGGTGCGCCGGCCGCAGCGCGCTGGCCGCGGCGGCCATTGGAGGGTGAACCAACGGCAAAGGAAGACCTTTCTCTCTGTCTCTCTCTCTCTCACTGTCCACTCTGCCTGTCAAAAAAAAAAAAAAAAGAAAAAAATCATATATTTATTTAAATGTCTACAATACAGCACACAAACCATAAATAGGGGCCAGCACTTTTGCATAACTGGTAAAGCTGCTACTTGCAATACCGGCAATCCCATATGGACACAAGTTCATGTCCCAGCTGCTCCATTTCTGATTCAGTTCCCTACTAATGACCTGGGAAAAGGTGTCTCAAGTGTTTGGGTCCCTGCCACCCATGAGGGAGACCTGGATGAAGCTTCTGGTTCCTGGCTTTAGCCTGGCTCAGGCCTGGTGAGTGAGCCGGCAGATGGAAGACTCTCTCTGTATACCTCTACCTTTCTCTCTGTAACTCTTTCAAATATATAAACATTTTTTAAAAGCATAAATAGTAGTTTTTATTATCTTCATTGTGCATTATCATTTTGCCCTCTGTGTTTATACTAATATACTGGGAATGCAAAAATGGTAGGAGAAGCTATAAGGGAGACAAAAGTGCTTCTGGAAATATTTTGAACAAGTCACAAATGCAAATACATTTGTTTTCAGTCTAGAAGCACAGAGGATGTGCAGGAAGAATAACAGAGTCTATCTAGGTACATCTGATTTTATTTCCACCTCTGCTGACAAAGGTTTTTCCTTCAGTAAGTTATTTTACTTCTATCAAAAAGTAAAGAGGCTAGAATACATGTCTTTTTAAAATTTCCTTCTAAAATGTGCCATCTATGAACCATATAATTTTTTTTGACAGGCAGAGTGGACAGTGAGAGAGAGAGAGACAGAGAGAAAGATCTTCCTTTGCCGTTGGTTCACCCTCCAATGGCCGCTGCGGCTAGCGCATTGTGCTGATCCAAAGCCAGGAGCCAGGTACTTATCCTGGTCTCCCATGCTGGTGCAGGGCCCAAGCACTTGGGCCATCCTCCACTGCACTCTTGGGTCACAGCAGAGAGCTGGCCTGGAAGAGGGGCAACCGGGACAGAATCTGGCGCCCCGAACGGGACTAGAACCCGGTGTGCCAGCACCACAAGCAGAGGATTAGCCTATTGAGCCACAGCACCGGCCAAACCATATAATCTTTCTATAAGCTTATATATATAAGACAAATATGTTTATAAGACTAAATATAATTCCTCTCTGTCTCTCTCACTGCCTGTCCAAAAAAAAAAAAAAAGACTAAATACAAGACATATAAAAATAAAAGTTATTCAATACCTGCTGTACTTCGAGTTGAATTTTCATGTAGGTTTCTCTTCATTTCCTCCAATATCAAAGTCTATTTGATATTCAAATTTACAATATGAAGTTGTCTGACTAAACCTTTGAATAAGAAAAAATGTAACTCATACTGTATCTACAAAATCAGTCTAATTACAGAAAACTAATATTTTAAACTGGTTTCAAATATGATAAAACATTTAAGGGCATCTGCTGCTTTCTAAGAATTGACAACTCAGAGGAGGGCATTGTGGTAAAAAGAGTTAAGTCACCATTTGGGACACTCACAACCCTATCCGAGTGCCTGGCCCAAGTCCTGGCTTCTCTGCCTGCAATCCAGTTCCCTGCTAAATCATCCTAGAAGGCAGCACAGTGCTTGAGTCCCTGCTACCCACATGGGAGACTTGGCAGTTCCTGATTCATGGCTTCCATCTCAAACAGCCCTAGCTGTTGTCACCACTTGGAGAGTGAACCAGCAGTTGGAAAATCACAATCTCTCCCTCTCCAACTCTGCTTTTCAAATAAGTCAACCTTTAAAAAAAAAAATAACATACTCCATTTTCCAAACTCTTCAAATTCAGTTATGACCAGGGTGACTACAACCTACTTCCTAAACACAGTCTATGCAACGTATTTAAGGATCAGGGATCCATAATGAGAATTCTCAGCCAGGTCTTTTGAAGAGTGAAATGGACTACAGCACTGGCAGACATGTGCTTACAAGGGGAGGGAGAAAACATTCACTACTGAACCAGCCGTGAGAAATCACCCTCTGCGTCCCACTTTTTTGTTTGTTTGTTTTTGACAGGCAGAGTTAGACAGTGAGAGAGAGAGAAAGATGCGTCCCACGTTAAACAGTGAGCATATCATCTGCTTTGGCCACTAATTAGTCGGCGACTTCTGGGTTATATAATACAAAGATGAAGTCCTCGCTTCATGTCCAAAATAATTACAATGCCAAGTTTCCACTCTACAACTCCAACAAATGAGACAAGTTTTTTTTTCCTTTTACAGCATAATTTGTTTGTTTGTTTGTTTGTTTTACATGCTTAGCTTCCTTATATATTTCAATCCTTTCCTTGAAAGGCAAATTACACACCTAAATGAAATAATCTCTGCTCCAAATTCACTAGCCAGTGAGACGACCAAACATGAACACAACCAAGTAACAACACAAATCCGAAGGAGGTGAGTACTGATTTTCAAATACTGTTTGGAAACATCACACGTGGGAAACACGAGGTCGAGGACTGCCGCCGCTTTGTTTCCACGTTCTGGGCTTGGAGCTGCACACGGCAGCCCCTTTTACAAACCAACCGTGTCATTACAGGGGCCGAACCAGAGGTCGCCACTTTTCCTTAACACAGGAAAAAATGGGGCAACGCCTATCCTACACCTAAGAGGGCTCTCACGTCTCAGAGTAAGCGAGAAAAATTAAAAATCTTAAAAGGAAATCTCCCCATGCCCAGACGGAGGGCACGGAGTTGCCTCTACTCCCGCTTCCGAGTGGCCCTGAACGGCGCTGACGCCCCCGAACGTTCGTTCAATTCGCAAACCCAGCCCCACCCCGCCATCCGCCATCCGCCATCCGCCATCCGCCATCCGCCATCCGACAACGGCAGCCTCCGACAGAGGCCGGGCGCGCCCGTTTCAGCCCCTCAGGGAGGGGGGAGGGAGGGAGACGCTCCTGACAGGATTTATGTTCTCTTCTAACCTCTCCTGACCACCCAGGGACTGGGGGCGGTTTGGTTTCTAGGGTCAACACACGGTCTTTCCCCGCCTCGGCTCTTCTACCCACACAACGCACAACTTTAACCGTCAAGCTCCCATGCTTCGCTCAACGGTCGTCGAAACAGCCCAGACCGCCCACCTTCGCACTTCAGAAATAAGCGCGGGAAGTATGGATGTGCGCAGGCGCACCCCGAGCTTGCGCAGGCGCACCTCGGCCCGGCCCCCGCAAGCCACCGACCGCGCAGGCGCAGAGGCCCCTGCCTGGGCGCGGTGGCTTGTGGGCATCGTGGCATCGTAGTTTCTGCTACCTGTTAGGAAGGGCTTTGCTGAAGTCGCCGTAACATTAATGTGCCCGCCTTTGTGTTCTCACACTGCGAGGTTCGCCGCTCCGGGGCGGCTTGAAAGTTTTGCCCACGACGGGAAGGAGCCTGCTTTGATCACCAGTGAGGCGGCGGCAGAGCTCTCTCGCCCAGCCTGTTTCTGCCCCAGCGTGATCAGAAAATGGTGGCTCTCCCTTCTCCGAACTCCACGGGTGTTTCTTAGGTTCTGCACATCAGTTTGTAAGATGCTGGTGACAACCTGAAATGTGCCAGGAAGCGAATGACTGGAAGGCCGCAAGCCTCAAAACCGAGGCATAGGTGCCTTGCCGTGCCAGGCTCACTTTCTGAGTTAGGTGATCAGGGGAGTTGGAGTCTTCGGGAGGCAGCGGAGAGAGCCGAGGCCTGGGCTTAGATGACGGACCAGCAGGGCAAAGGTCAGGCAGGGAGGGAGCTGAGGAGCTGCGGAGACGTTCCCCACAGGCAGCAGAGTCGGGGGAGGACCCCAGCTTTGCGCGCCAGCCTTCCTGCCTGGGATGACTGCGGAGTCCTAGCCATATGACCTTGGGCAAATTTGTAATGCCCTCCAGACCTACGTCCCCTTCCTCAGTAAAATAGCAATAACAATATTCCCTCAATTGCCCTAAAAAATAGTAAATGGTGAACAGCCCTGGCACACAGTAAGTGCTCAATAAATGTTATTTAGTTACTGCAGCTGCTATTTATTGGGTACTTATAGACTACATACAGTAATTCTACTTTAGTCTGAGTTCAAGGACCACAATTTATTGTTACCATATCTTCTGAGTATTTGAAAATGGATAGAACAGAAGGGATGGAACAGGCTCAGGGATGGAAGTGAAAATATTAGTGACAATCTAAGACTATGAAAGAATCAAACACTGGTAGTTTCTTTGACAAGGAGGTCAAATAAGAGTGGAGTTGGATTAAGATTGGATAATAGAAGATTTGAATAGCATAAGGATAAGCTTTGAAGGAATAGGATCATCTTTTAACGTGGAAAGAAGACTTCAAATAAGGATTTTATGCTGCATCCGTAAGGCATACAGCCATAAGCAAAACAGAATCTGCTAGTAATTTAGAAACCGCTGTGTGTCTCTATCTTGTTCTGATTATCGTTTATTTCCACCTGGAAGGTTGTTTGGGGCTAAGCAACATCAATAGGGCTACAGGGAAGAAGGACGTGAAAGTAATGGAGTAGTTTGATTACCTGGGTCCTGGACAACAGCGTTGTGTATGAGACACCTGATGTGTAGTATTGGAGAGAAGATCTTCTCTATCCCCAACTCTCCTGTTTAGGGAACAACCCCACCTTAAATTTATCTCCTCTAAAATTTATGCCACTGATCTAATAGACTATGAAGTTAAAAAAAAAAAGTCCCCTTTTTGTTTTAAACTACGTTATTTTGTTAATAAATCAGGCACCTCCATCCCCACAAAACATTTGCAGTGCCAGAAGCTATTACACTCATTTTAAGTACTTCAAAACATTAAGCATTCAACTTAAGAAGGAGATAGTAACGACTAGACTGGGTTTCACCTTTATACCATCAGCTCTCTGAACTCTCAGCAAAGAATGAGACTAATTTTAAAATGTGTGAGTTTTACGGGGCCCAAGAATGAAGTGCACTTTGGGAAACAGGGAGTTAAAAATCTTTCGGAAGTTAACTTGGTATAAGAGTATGAAAAGCCTCTGTTGCTCCAGTTCTAAGGAAATGCTCTCCTTTTTTCTGATAAAGCTCTTCACAGAAGCCAAACTCTTTACACAATAGACAAGGTAAGTATAGGAAAGAATTACTGCAATCATTTTTGGCAAGTCAGGGAAACTTTATTTGGGAATGTAAAATATGCTTCAGAGTGTTGATCTGTTAAAATTCCACAAAACAGGCCTCAAAGTGCAAGTCATCTGTGCCAGCTCCAAGCAAATAACTGAAGCAGCATTTCCAGAGAGACTAGGGCAAAGGACAGAGCAAACTACAAACAGCACAAAAGAAAGAAGGCAGAGTTGAGGGCTACTAATTCACCATTCCTGCTCTGGAAACCAAAATAACTAACTGATACAAACTGTCTGTTTATTTTTAGGTGTGTTTTCATCATCTCTACACTGTCTGAAGTGTTTCGTGAAAATTGATATGGGCAAAAAAAAAATCAAAGGCTACCAGGGCTTTGCCTTGGATTAGAACAGTAATTTTAATGTGTAAATTTGGATGTTGTTATTTTGCTTTCTCTATCTCTGCATTCTAATCTCTTAAAGCAAGAACCTAGTTTATTAAGTATTAGGAAGCATTCATATTTTATATGCCCACGCTGTGTTTGTTTGAGTGCTTCTTTGTTTTGCACACATAACAATGGCTGTTATGTGAATTCTGAAAGAGCAAACTTAGCACTGTAGAGAAGACCAAAAATAACAGAGAGGCACCCTATTGTCTTATGGAAAACACTGGGCTTAGAATGAGAAACATGGGTCCTAGGCCTAGTTTTCTCCTGGTTAACTGTGGAAATTAAATCGGGTTATTTTGCCTCTCTTGCCTTCAATGAAGATGTCAATACCTAATCCATCCCATCTTTGATGTATGAATAGACTGAGCTAATGTATAATTGGAGAACACTGTAAATTAAACTACTCTACAGTGTAAAGAATTACTCTTGTGTACCCCTATCAGATAATCTGACAGTATTCAGTACTTAGTATTTCTAGTACTGGAACATATTTGACTTTCTGGGTGATGGAGCAGATTTGATTCAGTCATTTCTCCATCTTAATATTCTGAGCAGTTGTCTAATAAGACCACCTTTTTGACTAAGACTTACCAGTGGAGTGTCCCTGCTTCCATGTCTGTATGAACTCATGTGATGTGATTAGTGTATATGTATAATATGTCCCAAGACATTTTCAGGCCTTACAAAGAGTTGGAAATTACTAACAGTTTCTTTTCCTTTGGTATTTAGGCAGAAAATGAGGAAGATTCCTAACGAAGTTGACACAGAATTACCACAAAAAAAAAAAAAAAAAAAAACTTCTTGAGAAAGAAATTAAAAGATGTTTCCAAGTAGCATTTTAAGCCCCAGTGCTCACTGATTTGGTTCTTTCTGTCTCTGCTGGTTCAAGAGGTGTCTGAAGATCTGCCTTTGGCTGTTTATACATGTGAGGTTCAAATGCCCTCTGATCATGAAAAGTGCCTGAACTCACTGCAGAGAAGAAATGCTTTTAAATGCCGTGGAAACATAAATATTGCACGGGTTACTTTTTATATTTTGAGGGATTAGAAATGTGTAAAGTATTTTTATTATTCCAAATAATCATGAAAGCCCCCATTGGTTGACATTCTAGCTGAAGGGAAAATAGAATTTTTGTATTGGTATGAGATGCTAATTTGTTATTGTACTTAGAGCTTCTGACCATCTGAGGGAGTTAGAAGTTAAAGTAAACAGCTGTATCTCTAGTTGATCTTTGCATATTTTAACCCTAATATGGTAAAGGGCAGGGCTAAAGAGGGGAGTGCCCATATAATAAACAGGGCTCCAAACATGTGACGGCAAGTTAAAACTTACTCACTCACGGGAACTCTGTACTTTGCACTTTAGTTAGAGCCACATTTAAATTTACATGGCTAAACTTTTCTTAAGAAACTGAGTTTCCTTTGATCCTCTCTCTTCTGAATTGCAGAAATCAAATCAAACTACTTGGTAAAATGAGTTCTTGTCATGTTGCTGAAGCACCTATAAAAAAGATTGCTATCTTTGGAGGAACTCATGGGAATGAGCTGACAGGAGTGTTTCTAGTGAAGCACTGGCTGCAGAATGGCGCTGAGATCCAAAGAACAGGACTGGAGGTACGGCCATTTATCACCAACCCAAGAGCAGTGGAGAAGTGTACCCGATATATTGACTGTGACCTGAACCGAATTTTTGACCTTGAAAATCTTAGGTAAGAGTATGCTTTGTATTCTATATGCATGCACATATATGTGTAAAAAGTGGTAGTTATAGGAGAAAGAACACCTGTAAGTATATGCATAAATGTTTGTGTTTGTACGTATAGCAGCTACCATGAACTAGAGCACTTTTACTTCTGATCACACTGCATCACAAATGGCATAGTAACCACATTGGGCATTTACTGCTCAGCCTGTTCTCAACTGATTTGTGTTTTTGAATGTATTTTTTACAGACTGAAGCAAGCATTAAGAAAAGTTGTTATTTTTAGATCATATCTTCAAAGAAGAGATTTAATAATTCTTGACTTTAAATTAGTGTTTTACCACTGTACTTGTGCACAAATGTGTTAGCTTTCTAGACTCACTACTGTGTTTTCATGCAACTGTGTTTATAGTAGTGCATAACGTTCTAGTTTCAATAATGTGATGTTGCAATCAAAGAGTGAGTGAATAGTCATTGCCAGAAAACTTCAGATTGCTCTGTGATCTGAGAAGTAGCTCACCTTCAGTGGCAGATTGCCATAGGTGGGAACAGAGGCAAAGACACTTCACCACAATTTTCTG